CCCGAGCCACAGTGTCCCTCTAGGGATAGGAAACAAGGTGTGTGCCAAAAATCGGAGCAAACGGAGAAAGTTAAGCGGTCCCGAACTGAGGCGCACGGGCGAGGGCTCCGAAAATCGAAAACTGGTCTCCAAACGGGAACAATGGCTTACGACCACGAAATGTAGCCTACGGCCATTGAGAGTTGGTCTACGAGACCTCTCCCTCCCTTCGGGAAGAGAAAACAGAACTTGGCACGCAAATCGAGGCGAAGCATAAAAGAGTCCCGAAGTCCAGAGGCAAGACTCTCAGTCGAGACTCTGTAACCTCAGAACGAGCACGATATGCACCATCACCGAGCGCTCAGTCGATGATGTCTGAGTCTTAAGGTTGGTCAAAAATGGGGTGTCTACACTCTTTACCTCAAACTGTTAATGCATTGGAATACTTAAAGGCTGTTGAAGATCGACAAGCCACTTGCTGGCACTATTATGGTTGAATTGACAACAATGAAATATAATGGCCACCGAGGAGTTTAGGATCACATCCTCAATATGGCGACAAAATTGCAAAACTTAAAACTTTAGGGATGCAGGTTGATGAAACTTTCCTCGTACAGTTTATTCTCAACTCACTTCCATCACAGTTCGGTGCATTCAAAATTCACTATAACACCAATAAAGATAAGTGGAGTTTGAATGAGCTGACTAATATGTGTGTTCAGGAGGAAATGAGGTTGAGGGAGGAAGGACGTCAAACTGCATTGGCTGTAACTCATGGAGCTATAAAGAAAAAGATGGGTAAGTTTGTAAAATCAAAGAAAAATCCACCAAAGAAAAAGAATAAACTTGGGGAAGAAAATCAGGTTCAAAATGGTTTCACTGTCAAGTGCTACTTTTGTGGCAAGAAGGGGCATGTGAAGAAAGACTGCAGCAAGCGAAAGGCTTGGTTCGAAAAGAAATGTAAGAAATTTTCTTTTATTTGTTATGAATCAAATCTTGCGGAAGTATCTTCTAATACTTGTTATGTTCCTTCAATTTCTAGGAATTTAGTTTTATTATCCAAATTAGATCGTGTTGGATATTCAGTTTTATTGAGTTGTGGAAAACTCAATTTAATGTTTAATTCAATAATAATTGGTTCCGGTAATATATGTGATGGTTTATATAAAATTACCTTAAATCATCAGTTTGCACAATCATTAGTAACTTTGCATTCGAATATTGGTTTAAAACGTAGTTTAATTAATGAAAAATTCTCAATCTTGTGGCATACACAGTTGAGACATATCTCTAGAAATAGAATTAAAAAATTGGTGAAGAATGGGATTTTGAAAAACCTAGACTTCACTGATTTTGAGATATGTGTGGATTGCATTAAACGAAAGCAAACCAAACACACCAAGAAAGGTACCACAAGAAGTAATGAGCTTCTTGAGATAATTCATACAGATATTTGCGGGCCACTCAACATCCCATGTCTTAGTGGTGAAAAATATTTTATCACATTTATAGATGACTTCTCACGTTATAGATATGTGTATCTAATTCATGAAAAGTCTCAGGCTGTTGACATCCTTGAGGTGCACATAATTGAAGTCGAAAGACAATTAGATAGAAAGGTTAAAATAGTGAGATCAGACAGGGGTGGTGAATATTATGGTAAATATGATGAGTCAGGCCAAAATCCTGGCCCATTTGCCAAATTCTTAGAAAAGAAAGGCATTTGTGCTCAATATACAATGCCTGGTACGCCACAGCAAAATGGAGTTGTTAAAAGGTGTAATCATACACTTAAAGATATGGTTAGGAGTATGTTAAGTTACTCAATTGTACCTATTTCAATATGGAATGAAGCTTTAAAGACTGCAATGTATTTCTTAAATAGGGTTTCTAGTAAGGCGGTCCCAACAACTCCTTTTGAGTTGTGGACTGGTCGGAAACCTAGTTTGAGACACTTACATATTTGGGGTTGTCCAGCAAAGGCAAGAATCTTCAACCCACAAGAGAAAAAGTTGGATTCAAGAACAATATCTGGATATTTCATTGGTTATCTAGACAAGTCTAAAAGGTACAAATTTTATTGTCCTAATCACAGTACGAGGATAGTGGAGATTGGTAATGCTAGATTCCTAGAGAATGGTGAAATTAGTGGGAGTGAGAAAGCACGAGTGGTGAATTTTGAGGAAATTAGGGTGGATGTGCCAACATTTGACCCTTATTAAAAAATCGCTATTCCTCAGACTATTCCACAAGCTGAGGAAAACGAACAACATAATGAAAATCCTTCACCACTTCATGAAGATACCACCATTAAAAATATTGTAGAACCACCACAACCGGCAGTTCTGAGAAGATCTTAGAGGGAAAGAAAGACTGCCATTCCAGATGATTACATGGAGTATCTACAGGAATCTGATTTTGATATTGGGATTAACAAAGATCTAGTCTCATTTTCACAAGCCATGAATAGTGATGATTCTTCTAAATGAGTCAATGCTATAAATGAAGAGTTAAAATCCATGGAACAAAATAGTGTTTGAGATCTCGTCGAATTGCCTAATAACTGCCAAAAGGTCAGGTGTAAATGGGTCTTCAAGACCAAGCGTGACGCAAAAGGCAATATCGAACGATTTAAAGCGTGGATGACATTTTGTTGGCTAGTAATGACCTTGGCTTATTGCATGAAACCAAGGAATATCTCTCCAAGAACTTTAAAATGGTCGATATGGGTGAGGCAAACTATGTTATTGGCATAGAGATCTTTAGGGATCGATCTCGAGGATTGCTAGGACTATCTCAAAAAGGATATATTGATCGTGTTTTGGAGAGATTCAATATGCAGTTTTGTTCAGCCGGTGATGCATCCATCACGAAGGATGATAAATTAAGTGAAAAACAGTGTCCAAGGAATGACTTGGAAAGAAAACAAATGAAGGACATTCCATATGCATCAGCTGTAGGGAGCTTGATGTATGCCCATACATGTACCAGGCTAGATATTAGTTTTGTAGTTGGAATGTTGGGAAGATTCCAAAGTAATCTTGGAATGGAACATTGGAAAGCAGTGAAGAAGGTTATGAGATATCTTCAAGGAACAAAGGACTATATGCTCATCTATAGGAGATCAGAACAGTTGGAAGTGATCGGATACTCAGACTCAGATTTTGCTGGTTGCCATGATAGTAGAAAATCTACATCAGGTTTTGTTTTTCTACCAGCTAGTGAAGTAATTTCATGGAAGAGTGTGAAGCAGTCCACTATTGCTTCATCTACTATGGAGGCTGAGTTTGTGGTATGCTTTGAGGCTACAAATCATGCTTTATGGTTGCGAAATTTCATCTCAGGACTTGGTGTTGTTGACTCAATTGCCAGGCCGCTGAAGATATATTGTGACAATACCGCAGCAGTTTTCTTCTCTAAGAATGGAAAGTACTCTAGTGATTCCAAACACATGGAAGTAAAGTACTTAGTCGTTAGAGAAAGAGTCCAGAAACAACAAGTGTTAATTGAAAACTTAAGCACCTCTCTTATGATTGCTGATCCATTCACAAAGGGATTGCCACCAAAGGCATACAAAGAGCATGTTATCAGGATGGGTCTTTTAAGCAACCCTTGATGTGCATGGTTAATCGTGAGTGCTTATTTTTATTTAACACTATTTGCGCAATAATAATCTTGTTTTCTATTTTTCCTGTTTCTAAAAGTGTGTGTACACGCTAAATTGAATATTGATAAATAGGAAATGTCTTAACAAGACAAATTACAGGGGTCTTTCAGGCCAATAATTATATCCCGATAATGGACTGGATTGGTGAAGGTTATCGATGGTGTAGTACATAGAAGGAAATATGACATAAATGCTATATAACCGTTATGACTCACATTGGCGATCTGAAGTAATCACAGTATTATAATTTCTAATATATATGAACTTATTGGCTATTTTTAAAATTCGTGATCACGTGTCAAAGTTTTTAGTGTGGAATCCAATGAGTCAATTTTTTTTTTATAAATTGCATATTTTGAAAAAAAAAAAAAACTCATAATTGCATCATAATTGGCTTAATGGCTCATGTGGAAGAATGTTGGATTTATTTTCTAGTGTGGCCCAATAGCCTACATATATCTACATGTTTTAATTTAATTTGAACTCCACAATTAGATAAAGCCAATATTATATATAAAGTTTAGTAATTAGAATTTTAATATAATTACTCTTCTAAGATAAGAAGGAAACCTTGATGGATTAGGAATTCTTCTGATAGAGTTTATCTGGCCCTCTTCTCTCCTCTATATAAGGATATGTGACTCCCCTTTCATATCATGAGTATTTTTCCATCACTTCAAGTTTTACAGTCATCCTAATTAAGAGAGACAGAGAGAAGAAGGTGAGCCAAGAATTCAAGGTTCAACTATTAGGGGTATTTTCTCAACTTCTCTAATTCAATGGCTGACAAAGGTATGCTCGTTTTATTCTTGAGTTGTTGAATTCAAGATCCTGTTAAGTTTAATTCCGCATTATTATTATGGTTACATGTATTATTAATACTTACAATATAAACCAAACAAACAACATTGTATCTTGAACCAACCATAACTGAAAACTAGAGCATAATGACTAGCTCTACTTCTTATATGTTCACTTCATTTTCATCATTTTCTTCGTCCCCATCTTCTAAAGATGAATCTGATAGTGAAAAAATTGTGAAACTTTTGGGTGTTTATGAGATAAATAATGTTAGTATGATACAGATTTTGAGAGCAAGTGATCAATCAAAGAAAAGAGATGGTTCTATTGTAGGACATAAATACATACGTCGTGATAGAAGGAAGGGTCATGAACGATTGTTTGTGGATTATTTTGCGGCAAATCCAGTTTATTCACTACAACATTTCAACGACGTTTTAGAACGCATCGTCCTCTGTATCTGCGAATTTTGAATGCCATTGAAGCACACGATCCATATTTTGTTCAAAAAAAAGATGCAACTCATATCCTCGGATTGTCTCCACTTCAAAAGATGACTTTAGCAATTAGAATACTCTCATATAGAGTGGCAACAAATGCAGTTGATGATTATGTACAAATTGGGAAAAGCACAACAATTAAAAGTTTGAAATACTTTTGCAATTCAATAATCGAAATCTTTGAACCCGAATATCTTAGATCTCTAACAACAACTGATATTGCTAGATTACTTGTTATTGAGAAGGTTCGTAGGTTTTCGGATATGTTGGGAAGTTTAGATTACATGCATTGGGAGTGGAAAAATTGTTCAACAGCATGGCAAGGTCAATACGTAGGCCATCAGAAAAAGCCAGTCATCAGAAAAAGCCAACCATCATTCTTGAAGCAGTAGCTTCTTATGACTTGTGGTTTTGGCATGCATTTTTGGAATTCCTGGATCATACAATGACTTGAATGTCTTAGATCGGTTGTCCTTATTTTCTGATCTTGCCCAAGGTAAAGCTCCGTCTATCCATTACACTATTAATGGGCACACTTATAATATGGGTTATTACCTTGTTGATGGTATATACCCTCAATGGGTAACACTGGTTTAGACAATCTCTTCTCCCCAAGGAACAAAGAAGTAATATTTTGCAATGATGCAAGAGTCAGCAAGGAATGATGTAGAGCGAGCATTTGCAGTGCTCCAATCTCGATTTGCAATTGTAGGTGGTCCAGTTTCACTACAACAAAAAAGGTCTTTGGTGACAAACTCATTTTGTCTCCAAACATCAAATTTTTGTCACCAATGTAATCTGTAACAAAATATCTTTTCGCCACGTTCGTCGCTTATACGTTGTCGCTGAAAGTAGCTGGTGACGAAAATCGTTTCGTCTCATATTTTTCATTTTTGGCGACAAAATTTTTCATCTCTAAATTTTTCATTTTTTGTCCTCTACAACATCAATTTTGTCACTAGAATTAGATAATATTTTATTTTAATTATTTTGGCCATGAAATATTTCGTTACCAAATATGAAGATAGAGGTTTTAATGACGAATTTATCCTCACCAATGATACAGATTAAGGTGACAAAACAATTCTTTACTAAAATGAGCAAAAAACAAAATTCTTCAATGACAAAAAAATTTGTCGCCAAATATTTCAATTTAGTGACGAAATATTCAGCAAATGTAACGAAATTATTTGTTTGGAACTATATCATTAGTGACAAAATTATTCATCATCTTGTTTAAAAACTAATAGCGACGATTTTTTTATTTCGTCGCTAATAATAATTAACAATTTTAAAAATGAGGATAATATTTTCAATTTTCAATTTTTCGTTTCACTAAAAAGTCCCTGCGCATTTGAATAACATGTTCAATAAAATATCTATTACAGATCAATACGAAAATCTGTTCATTTTCATAAACACCACAGTCGAAATGTTTCATAATATCCACAAAAAATACAATATCAATTGCGGATTACCAAACATGTCTCCTAATATCCACAAAAAATATGTCTCATAATATCCACAAAAATATAATATCAAGTGCGAATTACCAAACATGTCTCCTAATACCGACAAAAATATAAAATTTACAGCACAACCAAAATACATATAAGGTAATATTAACAAAAACACAAAATGAGCAAGCTTCTGCTCTCCAAATTACCAAACACGTCCATATCTAATCTCCAATCTGCAACAAAACAAAACAAAACAAACAAACAAAAAAAGAAAAGAAAAGAAAAAAGACAAAGGAAGACAATTATTATCTTATTAATCAAATATACAGTTTAACATTTTTCAAGCCTAAAGTGTTGGAAAAGTGCATTTTTCGACTTAGTTTTCAAACCGGGAGTCCCTTGCTAGTTCTGTAATTTTTCACAACTTACATTGGTTCCTCCTGAGGTGTTCAGAGTGTTCCCTAGGCCTTCTCGTGGTTGTTTCACAATTTTGGCCCCCGATGGCCTATTTTCAAGTCTAAATGTCGGAAAAGTGCATTTTTCAAACTGGGAGTCCCGTGTTAGTTCCGTAATTTTTCACAAATTACATTGGTCCCTTCTGAGGTGCTCTGGGTGTTCCCGGGCCTTCTCGTGGCTGTTACATAAGTGTTAGAAAAGTGTATTTTTTGACTTAGTTTTCAAACTAGGAGTCCCGTGCTAGTTCTATAAGTTTTTACAAGTTACAATGGTCCCTTCCAAGGTGTTAGGGGTGTTGCTTAGGCCTTCTCATGGTTGTTTCACAATTTTGGCCCTTGATGGCCTATTTTCAAGCCTAAGTGTTGGAAAAATGCATTTTTTCGACTTAGTTTTCAAATTGAGAGTCTTGTGCTAGTTCCATAAGTTTCCAAAACTTACATTGGTCTTTCCTGAGGTGTGCAAGGTGTTCTCCGGGCCTTCTCGAGGCTGCTTGACGACGTTAGTGTCATATCCCAAATCTAGGCATGACCGGCCGTGGCCTACAGGAACTAAGCCCAAGGCACACGTAAGCTTTAAACATGAATCCATAATCACATTGAACAACTATACAATAGTCCAATAATAAATAACCAAAACTCAATCCAGAGACATGCCACAAGTATAAACAGCAAAATAATCAATACCATTTAAACTTATGGGATATAAATAACCCACATATCAAAATAATCCTAAATGAACCTCAACAAGAATAAAAAGAAATATGCACAAACTTGACATAACAATCTAAAACAAAATAAATGAATGTCCTAGAGGTCCATGCAATTGAGTCCCTACTACGCCACAAGTCCACTCCAAGTCTTTCTAACACTTGAAAATGATAAACAACTAAGTTAACTGATAGCTCAGTGAGTAGTAACATGGATAGTAAATACAGTTTTGAAAACAGGGTTCAATTCCAAAATAAGATATATATCACAGAAACTAGATTGGCATACAGTTTGGTAAAGAGAATCTGTTTCAAAAAGAAGGTTCCACAGTTCAACAGTTAAAATACTCATGTCTCTCAAGAATAAGATAAATGACATTTTCCACTTAAAACAGACTACAACATGAACACCAATAATTTTCTAGGTACCAAGAAATAACAAGTAACATGCCACACAGCTCTCAAGGCTATAAGCCCCGTTGGATCCAATACCGAACTAAGAGTCATCATCAGGGTGGCAACATGGGCCTTTTCTCTAAGACGATCCGATTGAAGGTCACCTAGCTTAACCTAGGTCTTTTCCTTACAATCGTTGAGCACTAGAGTCATCACGGCCCAACCCAGATCTGTTCCCTAGTGGCCAGAGTCACCACACACAGTGGAATAATTTTCCTAGACTAAAATACACAAATGGTCCCAATAATCAATACACATCAGTTTCGCAAAACATGATGGTTCACCATTATAAACATGAGACCAAAACAAATAATTTACAGTATACCAAGTTCACATATGTTTTAGAAATAATTTGATTCCATTGATAATATAATAATTTATCAAAACAGTTTAGTCCTGAAACAACAATTAAATTTTCCAACAGTTCAGGGTAGGAGAACATTTATAAAAATATGTAGCATGAAACTACTCACCTGAAAACGAAATAATATAATCTTTGAATAGAGTATATAAGTCCAACTAGTGCCCTGAACCAAGTATGAAAACTACACGTCACTACTAATTTAAAAATACTAAAGAATAAGAATTAAGTAACCACAAACTTAAGCGCACTAACACGGCTCAACCCAACTCATCGTTACTCTTACATATTACCTAAGTTCATGTTCTTCAAGGTCTAAAATCACCCAAGACATGGGTTCCGACCGAAACTTAACTAAAAGGAACTTTAAGATAAAACAGAGTTTTAAACAAGTTTTCTCAATCTATTCGCTAACTTTGAAAATTACAAAACCCACTCCACGCTGTTTGAAAAATTCCAAACCCCTAGATATCAATTAATATATCCTAAGTTTCAAACCCAATTGGTTTTACTTGATTTGCTTATCAAAATACTTATCTACAATTAATTATATCTAAACAAGTTATTTTTTGCAGCACTTTAAAGAAATTAATGGTTCTCTTAGAATACACGAGCAATCAACGCAAGGCCAAAAATGTACGAAACTAGACTTGTAACCGGTTAATGACGCTGATTTGATAATTTTCGGATTTATACCCAAAGAGAACAACGCTCCCGAACTTACTGTTTAAAACTAGTTTTCTGGATAGATTTAAACGCATCAGTTATATGGATTTTGACTTCCAAAAATTATGATAAAATTCAGATATGCAATTCAATATATAATTAATCTACTGTAAAGTTTTAGTTCAAAATTCATTTGTTTGATATGGTTTTTTGATTTTTAAAGTTTGAGATTATGTACATAATTTTTGGACTAAGAATTATACCATTCATTATACATGAATTTAACTCCTCAGATTTCTTAATAGTATATATATACACAAATTACATACACCTACAACCTCCCCACCAATGAATTAAATCATAAAATAGAATAAGGATAAATAACAAATATAAAATAAAGAAGAAAGTTAGAACCTTACCACACCCAAAAGTTCTTTGATTGCAATTTCTTCTTCTTTTTTTTTTTCTTCTCTCAAAGTCTCTCCCGTGGCTATTGTGTTGTTGCCCTATGTGGTGAACAAATAATAGAGTAGGGTTTGTATTTATTTTATTTTATTCTAGTGGTGGGCACACATAGGTCAAATAAATAGGTAAAAATACAAAATATATATATAAGTTATATGCAATTCAAATGGTAAGAGTCTTATTTGTAATCCTTGTGGTCAAGAGTTCAAGTCACACACTTTATCCTATTTTTTTTTTAATAATAAATCTTACCTCTAAATTAAAGGCTTTCACCATAAATTTATTTTAGGTTTCAAATTAATTAAAAGATCCTCCAATAATATTTAATTTGGACTTTAGGATTCACCATCAAAATATTTGAGGTTTGTAAAATAATTATTATTTAATCATTTATTTGATTTATATATTTGGGTTCTCACAGTTAGCCCCCGATGGCCTATTTTTAAGCCTAAGTATTGGAAAAGTACATTTTTAAACTTAGTTTTCAAACCGGGAGTCCTTTGCTAGTTCTGTAAGTTTTCACAACTTATATTGATCCCTTCCGAGATGTTTGGGGTGTTCTCCGAGCCTTCTCGTGACTGTTTCACAATTTTGGCCCCCCGATGGCCTATTTTCAAAACTAAGTGTTGGAAAAGTGTATTTTTCAAGCCTAGACTCCTCGTGCCAGTTTCATAAGTTTTCACAACTTAAATTGATCCCTCCCGAGGTGTTCGAGGTGTTCCCGGGCCTTCTTGTGGCTGTTATACGATTTTGGCTCCCGATGGCCTATTTTCGAGACCAAGTTTTGGAAAAGTGCATTTTTTTACTTAGGGGTGGTTTGAA